ATAGGGTCAACCATGAATAGTTTCGCAAAACTATTTTTTGTTGTTGTGGTCAACCGCTAGCAGTAGCTAGCTAATTTTCCCCAAACATCAGACACCCCCTGACCTCGGACACTCTCTAGCGGTTGGAGGACTGAATCACCTCGAGCTCAACATTTAAATGGACTGAAAAATAACGGTACGTTTTGTGACTAACGACACCCTTTTAGCTAACTGACCACCGATTTTCAGTGCAATTTCTGTAAGTTAAGTTAGGTTTTGAGAGTTTTCAAAAAAGTTATATGTACACATTTTGTGGAACACGCTGCATATTGTAAAATTCGACTGCGCGACAGACCACACCTAATTTAATATCCAACTTTTTACCTCTGAAATATAGCTAACGGATGTTCTAATGTTGCTATCTTAGTTGCTAAATGTTGATAGAACTGCTAAGTAAGCAAAAAGGAAAGAAATTGTAAGTGTTAGATAATACATATCACGAAAACAGCTGCATGTTGTCAAGCTTTACCGTATCAAAATTGGAGTCCTCTGACGGAGGCGTTTTGCACAATCTGCAAAAATGTATTTGGAACTTTGAACCATGAACTTTTTGACACCTATCACTGTTGGCTATGTTTCATCTTACAATAGCTACATAGAGGCAGTATTTAGTTAAATGGTACAATGTATGCATCAATATTACACTAATTGGGACACTAATTTTCATTACAGATAACATCAAACAAAAAATGTGGGTACACTTTCAGTTATTGTGAAAACTTTCATCACCTTTCAATGCCTTAGCTTTGAAATGTAAATGTTTATACATATTCAGATTGAGTTATCTTTCTAAAATGTGTATAGTATGCCAAGTTATTTAGCTACATGTATTTACCACTGCAGCATGGAGAAAGTCAAGAGGAAGCAGTGGAGTGAGGTGGACATGTTCCATGCCATGGAGGACTGCGGGGCAGGGATGGCTATCCGCCAGGCTGCCAAGGTTAGGCATCTTTTGTTTTTAGGAGATTACCATGTGTATGTGAATTTTATCTGCTAGTAACAGTTTTCTTTTCTTATCTACCAAGGTGCATGGTGTACCTCGGCAGACCCTGGCGGACAGGCTGAGCGGCCGGGTGACCCATGGTTGTCGCAGTGGACCACCCACATTGCTTGCACCAGAGGATGAAAAGTCTCTGGTGCAGTACTGTATCTACTGCGCCAGCCATGGGTTCCCCTTCACCAGACAGAGGCTGATGAAATACGCCGACAAAATACGCAGGTATTTGGTGTTCTATGTGTTTATGTATGTAGAATGCTGGACTGACTGTTATCAATGTGTGTGATGTAAATGTGGATGTGTATGGTGATGCCAAAACAAACATTTTCATCCTGGATGGACAATTATATATTCTATTCTATTGTAGGTTTCGGCACCCAGGGGAAACAATCCCACCACTGGGGAAGAGGTGGTGGGAAATGTTCAGGAGGAGGCACAAGAACCTAAGCATGAGGAGGCCGGACACCCTGGATAGGGGGAGAGCTGAGTGTGCCACACGTCCGACGATGGACACCTTCTTCACTTCTTATGAGAAGCACTTGGAGGAGAGTGGGTTGAGGGAGAAACCCAGACAAATCTATAACTGCGATGAGTCTGGGTTTCGTAGCGACCAGAGCAGGCACAAAGTGCTGGCTCCCCGGGGCGCAAAACACGTGTACCAGCAGGCTCCGGGGACCAAGGAGCACATCACAGTGCTGGCCTGCTTCAACGCAACTGGGGAGGACATCCCCCCGTTTATCATCTACCCCAAGTGTTTCCCCGGTGGCCACTACACACTGGGAGGCCCCCCCCCAAGCCTTGTATGGACGGTCAAGCAGTGGCTACATTGACGGGGACCTGTTCAGGAAGTGGTTTCAGCACTTTATTAAGTATGCAGTGAAAGAGCGCCCTCTCCTTCTCCTCTTTGATGGGCACAAGAGCCACATGGACCCGGAAGTGCTCGCGGTGGCACTAAGGGAAGGGGTTGTACTTCTTTGTCTTCCACCACACTGCACCCATGTCCTGCAGCCGCTGGAAGTGGCATACCTTGGCCCTCAAGGCTGAGTTCTCCAAGGTAGCTGGAGACCTTAGCCATTTTGACCACTCCTACATGGTAAACAAATCAGAATTTGCCAGAGTATTCCGCTACCCGTACCAGCGATGCAAGGACATGCGCTATGTGGTGGAAGGGTTTAAGAAGTGTGGCCTCTTCCCTTTTGACCCTTCAGCCATTGAAGGGTCCCGTTTAATGCCGTCTCGGACCCTGCCGGGTCCCAACACCGCCTCTACTGGAACCAGCAGCAATGTGCCATCCATCAGCACCTCCTCCCCAGCGACCACAGGAGGACCCTCAGCCCCTGCCCCAGTCCCAGCCGCTGCTCCAGTCCTATCCCTAGCTCTAGAAGAGCACCCCCTAATAGAGGGGGGGCTGATAGCGAAGGACCTGGGGCACATCCTTACTGTCCTGAAGTATCGGCTGGACCGATACAGAAGACTCCCTGTGGTCGCCACATGCCTCACCGGGGAGGAATACACGCGCCAGTGGCAGGAGAGGGGTGAGAAGGAGAGGGCCGGGGCAGAGGAGAAAGAGCGTCGGGCAGCCCTCAGAACACAGAGGGCACAGGAGAGGGCTGCCATGGATGAGACCATTGACGCCATCGCCTCTGCTGGACCCCCTGCTGGAACCACTCCTGACAGCTGCATCACCACTGCCAGTGCCTCCCAGTGTGCAACACCTGTAGGAGCCGCCGGAGTCCCCAGCTGCAGAAGAAGGCCACATGCCTACTCTCCCGGCCACACCATCGTCGGCCCCTCAACCCCACCATTACAAACACCAGCTCCTCCAAGCCATCGTCGGCGGTTTTGTCCACCACCACCCCAATGCACACCACCCCCCATGTCTGTCACCACCAACACAGCCTCCTCTGGACCAACTGCCTCCTCCGTCTCCCCTGGTCACACCACCATAGCAGCCTCGTCTGGTGTCCCTGCCCCCTGCAATTTGAATACCACCACCTCCACAGGTAAACACATGTTAAATTACGAAAAAATGACTGTTTGTTATCTGTTTTATAAAACAGCAATGTAAAATATATATATATATATATATATATATATATATATATATATATATATATCTTTATATATCTACAGTAAATAGCACCAGCCCTCAAGTCATCTCCGCCTCCTCCAAAACCTCTGCAGCTTCCTCCAGAGGTATTGATGTAAAAAAGTTGAAAAGGGTTTTCATGCAACATGCTCTGTCTAACACTACTTTTTCTCAAACTGCAGCACAGAAAAGGAAGAGAAAAGCTACACCGGTCACATCTGTCACACCACCCATGGCACCACTCTCAGGTACTTCATAATCTGTTTTTCTCGCTCTCTCAGTTGTATCAATTACTATTGTTGTTGAAGAACTTCTACATTTTGCAAAACCATATTAATCAATTTGTATTATTATTTAATTTTTTATAAAAGAAGACACCACCTGCTGTGCTCGCTGCGGGGAGCGTGATCCGCCTGCAAGCTCCTCTCAGGAGTGTAGATCCGAGGTGCCATGGGTGTGCTGTGACTTTTGCCAGCACTGGTTCCACTGCAGGTGTGTGCAGTGGGATCAAGAGGTAGCGGTGGAGCTGGATTTTTATTGTGATTTTTGTGACAATATAGGGATGGAGGTCGAGATTTAATTGTTTGTTTTGTTTGTGTTCATATGAAATTATTTATTTGTTCAAAAAAATAAATGTCTAAAATATAATATATATATTTATTGAATCCATCTTGTGTATTTCTTCCTTTACTTTCCAAGTGCACCTCTGCAACACAAACTCCAACAGTGTTTTCATTGTTTTATGTTAATGCGCATAACTGAAATTAAAGTGTATTTGATGTAAATTATTAATACTCATATTTCATTTGGTTACAACACTGAATATGTTGGTGAAGAACCATTTTTTAAGAGTCCACAAGAGGGCTACGCAATGAAAAGTTGACAGGCAAATCATTATTTTTTACCTGAAGACTAGCCAACTAGTCAACTATCTAGTAAACACTTCGGGTACGTGGTTGGTGTCTCTTTTTTCAACAAAATTAAACGGATATATCTTGTAATTGAACAAAATAGTAAGGTGCCCAATAACTGGGGGCCGTATACAGATAATACGGGACGTATTTTTTTGCTAAACCGCTTATCAAAAGCAGATAACAGTAATATTTTCAAATGAAATGTCAAACTTGCTAATTGCTAAACCGTTAGCTAACATTTTTACGACACCAATAATCACAAAACATTGAAGGCTTGATCACAAGATAACACTGTTGAAGGTAATATATTTCTTAAACGCTGTTGAATATGCTGATAATACGGGATTCTACGCTAGATCCAAATAATTCAGATAACTAACATTACACAGAACCACTGGGACCATATTATAACATATATTGTATGTGTAACTGTTTAGTTGCCATTGTACACATGAAACGTAATAAACCATTATCATAATCATAATTTAATCTTGGAGCGCTCTTTGCCATCTCCGCTCGAGACCAGTTGGGGTCGCGCGAGTCCTTTGTGACTCACTGGACATAGCTAGCTAGCGTAGCTAACTGCAACTGTTAGCTAGCTAGCAATGTCAACCGTGTGCTTTCTTGCTAGACTACCGATGTTTTACAAGCAAAAACACTAGCTAGCTCTTCGTTAACGTCAGCTAAACGTGTTGATTTAGCTAGCTAGCTACCTCTGCTCTAACAGTTAACTAAGATAGCTAACATTGACGTTAGCTGACGTTAACGAAGAAACTTTGACAACAACCATGATCAGGCCAGAAATGAAGCTAGCTACAATGTCACAAACTAATTAGCGACAGCAATGAAATATACTACTACAAATACAATAGCTACAATTACCTATTTTGAGCTTTCTGGTATCTCCGGCTGGCCTTGACTGTTAACCAACTGAATGACTCTCACAACGACCGCTCTCACAATGCAGACTGCTCGAGCAGCAGAGGCCACCACTGCTGGATTGCGTGTTTTTGGTTCCTTTAGAGGTCATGATAGCTCCCTATTAAGGACAACAGTACTTCAGCAAACATTGATGTTGGCAATTGATGATACATGTATGCTGCTATTTGCTATGTTGAAAATTCCAAGCACAGATTTGTAAAACAGACAGGAAATAGCCTATTGTTGACTTGGTGATGTGAGGTCTCAATCTTGAATTAAACTTTGTCTCTGTTCAGGTTCAGCAAACATTTGGCATGCAACCTTGGGTTATGACAAAGAAACACTATGACAAAGTTACACAGTTGGTGATACAATTCATAACTTACCCGGTTTAGATAGCTGTTTTCTTTTCTTCCATCTTCTCAGAATGTGCAGGCACCCCATAGCTAATATGAGGTGTGCAAAAATAATAAATATGACAGTAAGGACACGCTTTTATCCAAAGCGACAGTATGCATGCATTCATTTTCCGTTCGTGACCCCGGGAATCGAACACACAATCATGACGTTTCGCGCGCCTTGATTTTTTCCCATTGACTGTCATGGTCGTTATTTATTTGACTATTTTAATATGTTATTGAATACATTTCTAACAGTTTAATAGGCTATTGCAATAATTCAACATGCATGGTAGGCTGCATCACTCGTTCAGCTTAGGTAGCTCTGCGGTCGCCGGGCATTCTCCACTATTGATATAATTAGTACGTTTTTAGAAAATACAATTATTTTACCTTCTAGGCTACAACAACAAAGTGCATTGAGGAATGTATTATCTTTACTATACATTCATTGTCTAGGCTGTAAACTGCAGTGATGTAGGCTAATTTGAATAACTGCTCAAACGTCCTTTTGTGTTTCATGACGAAATAAAGCCCTGATTATACAACCATTTGGATTAGTTATGGGTTTATTCTCAACAGTTTACAAGCTCCAGAAGTTACATTAGGCCACCCATATGGTGTATTTTGTCAGGATGTATCGGCGTTTATAGATAGGCCTACCATAGAAAAATAGGCTATAGCCTATTACACTGACAGTGGCAGTCGGGTCCATTTAAGATGAGGGAGGACGATTATTAATTTTTTATGAGCATGGCCTTATTTCTATTACAGTATATTTGATTAGTGTAATTCATATTCCATTCACCCAGTTCCATGTTACATCGATAGGTTTAGGTTACTACATGATACTCGAATTTTCCCTATACCCATCATGAGGTTGCTCCAACCTAGCCTATGAATGAACGTTTACAACGTAGGTGCACAGGTTGAGAGAAAATGACACATTAAATACCGGCGTGTACAATATTGACTGCATCTAGCTGATCTAGGGTGTAATCATTAGTCTAACAGTTGCAAACGAGAGTTTCTATTGGACAAATTCAGGTATGTTTATCCCCGTTTCGTTCCGTTTGCTTCCATTTAAGAAACGTTTTTCAACTGATTCTTTGGAATGAAAACATTTCCATTGACCCCCGGTACCGGTACCCCCTGTATACAGCCTCATTATTGTTATTTTATTGTGTTACTTTTTTAACATCTTTTTTTTTTTAACTTTTGTTTATTTAGTAAATATTTTCTTAACTCTATTTTCTTAAAACTGCATTGTTGGTTAAGGGCTTGTAAGTAAGCATTTCACGGTAAGGTCTACACCTGTTCTTTTTGGCGCATGTGACAAATTTGATTTGATTTGATTTAAACCTGCTACAATCATGCAGTACAGTCAATAAGCAGTTTAGCAGTTACACCGGCAGGTCCCGGTTGCAAGAAATTAGTCAAACCAAAAGCTTACCTTGACTTGGAAGAATTCCAGTGTTGGATTGTCATAGCCAGCTAGCTAACATAGCTCTCTGTTTGAGCAGGGTGTTTGAGTAGGCTAAACTAGCTAGCTACATTTGCTACCTAAGTAAATGAAAGTGAAAGTCTTTTTTTAATATAGCTAGCCCCCAATTTGTCGCTGTACATTTAAAAAATGCTGAACATGCAGTTATATTGACTACGTCTGTCCTAGCTCGCTCATTAATGTCTTAATCGAAATTAATTTCCTCTTATCCGCTCGTCGTTCCTTTATGCCATAGTTTCTACATCTCAATTGTCAGTAGAAACCACATTTGTTTAAGCAAGTCAGCCATATCAGCTATGTTTCAAAAAAGCTGTAAATGAGGCTGAATGAACTGTTTCGCTGCCAGACAAGGTGCCGCTGATAGCCAGGTGTAGCGGTGGTAAGAATTCACTCCATGGTGCTGAAAAGAAAGCTCTGCTGTTGGAACAGCTTCATGTAGGCCCTAACAGTTTGTGGGCACCGTTTGTCACCGTTATAGTGCAATTAATGTATTGTTTAGTGCTGTGTTGTGTAGTGGCTTTGCTGTTTTATTTTTTATTTTTTGCCCCACCAAGATTTACAGTGCATTCGGAAAGTATTCAGACCACTTCACTTTTTCCACATTTTCTTACGTTACAGCCTTATCCTAAAATGGATTAAATAGAAAAATGTCCCTCATCAATCTACACACAATGCCCCATAATGACTAAGCAAAAACATGTTTTTCAAAATTTTTGCAAATGTATAAAAAAATCCTAAACTAGAAATACCTATTTTACATAAGTATTCAGACCCGTTGCAATAAGACTCGAAATTGAGCTCAGGTGCATCCTGTTTCCATTGATCGTCCTTGAGAAGTTTCTACAACTTGATTGGAGTCCACCTGTGGTAAATTCAATTGATTGGACATGATTTGGAAAGGCACACACCTGTCTATATAAGGTCCCACAGTTGACAGTGCATGTCAGAGCAAAAACCAAGCCATAAGGTCGAAGGAATTGTCCGTACAGCTCCGAGACAGGATTATGTCCAGGCACATTTCTGCAGCATTGAAGGTCCCCAAGAACACAGTAGCCTCCATCATTCTTAAATGGATGAAGTTTGGAACCACCAAGACTCTTCCTACAGCTGGCCGGGAGAAGGGCCTTGGTCAGGGAGGTGACCAAGAACCCGATGGTCACTCTGAAAGAGCTCCAGAGTTCCTCTCTGGAGATAGAAGAACTTTCCAGAAGGACAACCATCTCTGCAGCACTCCACCATTCAGGCCTTTATGGTAGAGTGGCCAGACGGAAGCCACTCCTCAGTGAAGGGCACATGACAGCTAGCTTGGAGTTTGCCAAAAGGCACATAAAGGACGCTCAGACCATGAGGAACAAGATTCTCTGGTCTGATGAAACCAAGATTGAACTCTGGCCTGAATGCCAAGCATCACGTCTGGTGGAAACCTGGTACCATCCCTACGGTGAAGCATGGTGGTGGAAGCATCATGCTGTGGGGATGTTTTTCAGCGGCAGGGACTGGGCAACTAGTCGAGATTGAGGGAAAGATGAACGGAGCAAAGTACAGAGAGATCCTTGATGAAAACATGCTCCAGAGTGCTCAGGACCTCAGACTGGGGCGAAGGTTCACCTTCCAACAACATAACAACCCTAAGCACACAGCCAAGACAATGCATGAGTGGCTTTGGGACAAGTCTCTGAATGTCCTTGAGTGGCCCAGCCAGAGCCCGGACTTGAACCTGATCAAACATCTCTGGAGAGACCTGAAAATAGCTGTACAGCGACGCTCCCCATCCAACCTGACTGAGCTTGAGAGGATCTGCAGAGAAGAATGGGAGAAACTCCCCAAATACAGGTGTGCCAAGGTTGTAGCGTCATACCCAAGAAGAGTTGAGGCTGTAATCGCTGCCAAAAGTGCTTCAACAAAGTACTGAGTAAAGGGTCTGAATAAATAAGTAAATGTCATATTTCAGTTTTTTATTTTCAATACATTTGCAAACATTTCTATAAACCTGTTTTTGCTTTGTCATTATGGGGTATTGTGTGTAGATTGATGAGGGAAAAAAAACAATTTAATAAATGTTAGAATAAGGCTGTAAAGTCAAGGGGTTTGAATACTTTCCAAATGCACTGTACATGCTAAAATCTCCACTGCCTACAGAGTGCTGTTGAGGCTACTGTAGACCTTCATTGCAAAACAGTGTGTTTTAATCAATTATTTGGTGACATGTGAATATATTTAATATAGTTGTATCTAAAAATGATAACCTATTAAATGTTTCACTATTTTTATTTGTATGAAATTCACTGAGGAGGACGGTCCTCGCCATCCTCCTCCTCCGAGGAGCTTCCACTGGACACTGAGATGTGCTGTCTGTCGTGGATCTTGTATTTCAAGTCGTCCTATAATTAACGTGGCCACCAGCATATGCCTAAAAATCGCTATTGCCATTATATTAAACCAGGATTGGCCGAAGGACTGAAATTAATATAATTCGTTTGAGTAGGGTTCCCCACATTTTTTTTTTATAGCATAAATTCTGTAGGGTCCTTCTCCATCTTATAGCCTAATGGGCCGAATTCTTGCTTGCAAATGACCTAGCAAATTTGAGGTGAAATTATTACAACAATTTGTTTTTTTTATTGTTCCATCACCTGCCGAATAAAAACCTAATGTGGCCCTACCTCTGAAAAAAAGTTATTCGGGCCAGATATGCTGAAGTGGACTCGGCCCGAGTACCATTAGCCGGAACCAAGAGTTATTCTGCCGGACTCGGGAAGAGCTCGGCCCGTATGAAGTCCGAGTCGATGCATAGTCCCCTGAGTCTCAGACAGAATAGGCCTGAACCCACCATGTTGACTGGGAGGTCTCTTTCTTACAAATCACTCAAATTGATACAATTCCTTGGCCTAATCTAAATGAGAGATAGTTTCTGTTCTACATAGTTTTGCCAGAACGTTCTGTAGCGTTGCACCCATATGGTTGCACCCACTGAAAGCACCCCAGGCCAGATGTTTGAGGCTGACTGAAAGCAATCTAAACCTGTCATATGGAACTTGCTGTTGCAGTCATTGGCGGTTGAATATCATTGGTTGATGTCTGGCCTACCACTCAGCGGGAGGGACAAAGTTGAAGGAAATTGGACAGTTTTGACAGCAGCTGTCAGCTGTCGAAGAACCAGATGGAGTAGATACATTCTTTCGGTATATGGGAGAGCTCTGTAGGGAGAGCAACCTAGCTAGCTTGCCAACTTTGGACACAACATTCGTTCATTGATCATATCTAGTACTGGTAGCTTTAAACCTAGCAAATTTTTTTTATTATTTTTTTTATTTAACCTTTATTTAACCAGGTAAGCCAGTTGAGAACAAGTTCTCATTTACAACTGCGACCTGGCCAAGATAAAGCAAAGCAGTGCGATAAAAACAACAACACAGAGTTACATATGGGAGAATAATATAAATACATGGTAGAGAATAAAAGCTTTCTTTCTTCCTCAACTAGTTGAGTGCTAGTTGAGCTTGTAGTAGCTAGCTAGCTAGCTATAGGCTAATCTGCTGGCCAATTTCCATATTTCACTGACTTTCAGTTTTGTTTCCGTATTCATGGCCTCTCTTCTCAGCTCATACTTTGCAAGCTAGTTAGGTGGCTATAGCTGCATCTGTTGACCACATGTCAATACTCTGCAACCATACTATTGCCACTATTGCTGGCCAACTAACTTGACTCTCTGTAACGTTAACGGCTAAATAGGTTGCTATTGCTAGCTAGCTCCATGGACCCTCCTAGGAAACGAGTATTGCCTGCACCCCTACCAGACGGTTTTACACTGACAGACAAAGAGAAGAAGCGATGGACACTGGGCAGAATAATTGACCAAGGAGGCTTTGGAATTTTTAATTTTTTTATTTTACCTTTATTTAACCTGGCAAGTCAGGTAAGAACAAATTCTTATTTACAATGACGGCCTACACCGGCCAAACCCGGACGACACTGGGCCAATTGTGCGCCGCCCTATGGGACACCCAATCACAGCCAGTTGTGATACAGCCTGGAATCAAACCAGGGGGTCTGTAGTGACGCCTCAAGCACTGAGATGCAGTGCCTTAGACCGCTGCGCCACTCGGGAGCCCGAGGTAGATCTACCTAGGTAGGTAACCAGACTAGTATGTCAATCCATCAAGTTATCACTGATTCTCAAACCCCCTCCTCCCTCCCTCCCTCAACACAGACTCACACACACATCCCTCTTGGAGTGACAAGAGTGGTGAGACCCCAATTTATGGAGCAAAACACATGACCAGCAATCACAGATTAGTTTTTTGGGTGTAAACACATCACCAACAGACCACAAAAACTGGGGTACATCTGATTGCTTCCTGTCATGATTATCACGGTTTATGTGTCCCTCTGTTTTTCTTTGTCTCTCTCTCTCCCAGCTCTCTTTTGCTCCCCCCTTCTCTCTTACACCCTATTTCTCTCCCTCCTTTTCCCCATCTCTTACTTTTTCTCTGTCTCCCTTCTTCCCTCTCTCCCTTCAGCTTCGCACGACGTGGACACGCCTGTTGGGGAGGACTCTAACTTTGTGATTAAAGTGGTAAGTATAGGAATGGCTGATTGTGTTGTGTGAGTCAAGGCATTAACACCTATGTGTAGGCATTGTCATTTCTTCAGAGATAAACTAGAGATGATTGACAGTTTGACTTAACCACAATCATTTACTGTTAGGCTCCATTGCTCTCTCACTTTGTATTCCTCTCTTGCTTGCTCTCCTCATTGGGTTTTCTTGGATATGGAAAGTGACAATGAGGAACTCCTGGCTTTATATGCTTATAGAACTGCCTATAATTTTAAGGCAGAACATGCAACAGCTTTCAGCATGTCTATTTATGAAATAGTGTGGGCCTAGGCTATTTCCACATTTCTTCTTATTTGACCCTCTTATTTCATTGTGTCTGCAGGGGTACCATGAGAATGGGCCTCTGTTTTCTGAGCTCAAGTTCTATCAGAGGTGAACTAAACCTGAGAACAATGAGTATCAACAACTTCAATCATTCAACATCATCATGCAGCAGACATATGGTCAAGAATGCATAGCCTTTATCCCACAAAGGCTACATACTGTTTGGTTACAGCAAAACCTGTTTTAGGCTACCTCTTATATGAGCAGCCAGGCCCAGTGCAGCAGGAGTGAACTTGGCTGATGAAATGGCCATAGACATGAAGACTGCTGCCTGGTGTAATTAATAAGCCAAAGCTAACATGCACCTCAGTGGCAGTTAGCCCCTTCCCTGCTTGTTTGAGTTCTAATTCATAGAGAGGGACCCAATCACACATAATGATGCCTGCTCCTCCACTGGGCCCCTGACCACCTGCCAGTCTGGTGGAGAGCCAGTCAGGCCAGTCACCACTCCAAGACAGGCCTACTGTTCACTGTGTGTGTGCTTGCCTGTCTGTCTGTTTCTCTCTCTGTCTGTCAGTGTGTGTCTGTGTCTATAGTTTGAAGTGCATGCTTGTGTGTCTGGCTTAGACATGTCCTTCCATATTTCCTCTGTCTGGTCATATGTGTTTTTGCGAACAGTTCAGACAGAGTCAACCTAAATCGACAGTAATTCAATTCACATCACTTCCCAATTTGTTGCATAACTTTTAAGACCAAAGGCTCAGGTCCCCTAGGATTGTATCTTGGGCACTTGGCCATATTTGCTAAGCACTAGCATCAGTTACTTTCAGAGGGAATAAAACAGAGGTAAATAATGAACGCAACGAGTAATGAATGAAACAATAAGGCAAAGAGCAAATATGTACAGTGTTCTGTTTTTGCACTTTTTTTTGTGTCTGGTATTCCTGTAGAAAAATAATAGGTGCAACCATTGCACTGGTGAAAATACATTTAAATATGTCGTAAATACTGTTTATTAATTAATTTTATTTCACCTTTATTTAACCAGGTAAGCCAGTTGAGAACAAGTTCTCATTTACAACTGCGACCTGGCCGTATGTATATGTAGGATACAGTACATTACATTGTTTGATTTTTGTAATTCTGTCCTGCTGTTGTCTCAGTGCTGAGGTGGAAGAGGAGCAAGAAGCTGGACTTCCTGGGGATCCCTGCATACTGGGGATCAGGACTGGCAGAACACAACGGAACCAGGTACTACTGACCATTACATGGTGTAGTTATGGTCATGATGAGGATGATGTTGATGATACTTGGTTAATAATCCCTCACATTGGGGTTGGGAAGTGTGTCAGAGATGATTTTACCCCTTATCCTTGACCTTTGCCCTGTTCAGGTACAGGTTCATGGCGATGGACCGTCTGTGCAGTGACCTTCAGAAGGTGTGTGAGAGAAATGGTAGCAGGCTAAAGATAGACACAGTGCTACAGCTAGGACGTGTCCTGGTGAGTCTCTTACTCTGTTATCCTCTTCATCATCCATTGCTGCATATCACAAGATGGAATGGAAAGATTTCACCTACTCTTTGTCTCCTTGTCCTCCTACAGCTGGATGTGCTTGAGTATATCCATGACAACAAGTATGTCCATGCAGACGTAAAGGCTGCCAACCTAATGCTTGGTCACACAGACCCAGACAAGGTTAGCACTAGCACTGTCTAAATACAGTAGGCATGTGTATTGAAGGAATTTCTTGTACTGTGTACAAAACATACGTAGAAGACCGTTACAAACTATACTAACATTGAGCATTGTGTTAAGCTTCTACTTGTAAGTTATCTACACATACTGTCTGTTTATTCCCTGTTCTGCAGGTGTACCTGGCTGACTACGGCCTGTTCTACAGGTACAGCCCAGATGGAGTACACAAGGAGTACAAGGAAAACCCAAAGAAGGGACACAACGGAACCATAGTGTCACACCCTGGTGTTGGGACTCATTATTGTTTATCCAGGGTGTGTGCAGTCTAATTGTTCCATGTTCCATGTTGTTGTCTTTATTTGGACTTCACGAATCGTCTTTGTTTGTTGTTTTTGTATTTACGTGCTTTATATATTAAAGTCATGTTCACTCGCTACGCTGCGCATTGGTCTCATCCTTACGACGTTCGTGACAGAAAAACCCACCAAAGAAAGACCAAGCAGCGTGTCCAGGAGCAAGGAGACTGGACATGGGAGGAGGCGCCGGGCAAGGAGATGGAGAGGCTGGCGATGGCCCAGGTGGGCACAGTGTGGTCCTGGGAGGACATGCTCGGAGGCAAGGGACCTTGGGGGAAGATCAAGGCCCTGGCAAGAGAGGAGCATCGGCGGCAGCAGGTTCAACGTCGTAAGGACGAGAGGCAACCCCAATAAATTTTTGGGGGGGGGCACATGGCTTGGGCGAAGGAGCAGCAGGAGGCTGCCACAAGGGAGAGTCAGAAGGCGGCCAGGTTAAGGGGGCTGAAGGAGGCAGAGAAGGGTAGGATTCAGTGGGCTACCAGGTCAAGGGGGCTACTGGGTAAAGCAGAGAGGGAAGGTGTTGAGGCACGGCGTGAGGTACTGGGGTGTGTAACCAGTTCGGTCCGGCCCGTTCCTGATCCTCGGTTGAGGCCAGTGGTGTGTGTTCCCGGTATGGACCGGCCTGTTCCTACTCCACGCACCTGGGATACGGTGCGCTTCGCCAGCCCGGCCCGGCCTGTTCCGGCCACTCGCACCAGGGATACGGTGTGCGTCGCCAGCTCAGCCCTGCCTGTTCCTACTCCACGCACCAGGGATACGGTGCGCTTCGCCAGCTCAGCCCGGCCTGTTCCTACTCCACGCACCAGGGATACGGTGCGCTTCGCCAGCCCAGCCCGGCCTGTTCCTACTCCACGCACCAGGGATACGGTGCGCTTCGCCAGCCCGGCCCGGCCTGTTCCGGCCACTCGCACCAGGGATACGGTGCGCGTCGCCAGCCCAGCCCGGCCTGTTCCTGCTCTCCGCACTAGGCGTGAGGTGAGTCCCCAGGGTCCAGCATGCCCTGTTCCGGCTCCCCGCACTAGGCGTTATGGGAGTCCCCAGGGTCCAGCATGCCCTGTTCCGACTCCCCGCACTAGCCCTGAGATGCGTGTCCTCAGCCCGGTACCTCCAGTTCCGGCACCACGCAACAGGCCTACGGTGCGCCTCAGACGGCCAGAGTCTGCCGTCTGTCCAACGGGGCCTGAACTGTCCGTCTGCCCAACGGGGCCTGAACTGTCCGTCTGCCCAACGCCGTCTGAACTGCCCGTCTGCCCAACGGCGCCTGAACTGCCTGTCGGCCCAACGCCGTCTGAACTGTCCGTCTGCCCAACGCCGTCTGAACTACCCGTCTGTACAGAGCCTACAAAGCCGCCCGTCTGCCATGAGCCTTCAGAGCCGTCCGCCAGATCGGAGCCGCTAGAGCTCTCCGCCAGACAGGATCAGCCAGAGCCTTCCGCCAGACAGGATCAGCCAGAGCCTTCCGCCAGACAGGATAAGCCAGAGCCTTCCGCCAGACAGGATCAGCCAGAGCCTTCTGTCAGACAGGATCAGCCAGAGCCTTCCGCCAGACAGGAGCAGCCAGAGCCTTCCGTCAGACCGGATCAGCCAGAGCCTTCCGCCAGACGGGATCAGCCAGAGCCTTCCGCCTGCCATGAGCAGCCAGATCCGTCAGCCAGCCATGAGCAGCAGGATCCGCCAGAGCCAGCCAGCCAGGATCCGCCATTCAGTCCGGAGCTGCCCCTCAGTCCGGTGCTGCCACTTAGTCAGGTACTGTTCCTTAGCCTGGTGCTGGTCCTTATCCCGGTGCTGGCCCTTAGCCCGGTGCTGCCCCTTAGCCCGGTGCTGCCCCTTAGCCCGGTGCTGCCCCTTAGCCCGGTGCTGCCCCTTAGCCCGGTACTGCCCCTTAGTCAGGTGCTGCCCCTTAAACCGGTGGGGGTCATTTGGAGGAGGCTACATAAGCGGGAAGTGACTATGGTGGGGTGGTGGTCTAGGCCGGAGCCAGAACCACCACCGTGGACAGACGCCCACCCAGACCCTCCCCGAGACTGTATGCTGGTGCGCCCGGAGTGCGCGCCTTTAGGGGGGGGTACTGTCACACCCTGGTGTTGGGACTCATTATTGTTTATCCAGGGTGTGTGCAGTCTATGTGTTTGTGTTCTATGTTGGGTGTCTAGGTTGTTGTTTTTCTAGGTTTGTTCAATGACTCCCAATCGGAGGTAACGAGTGTCAGCTGTTCGGCTCGTTATCTCTGATTGGGAGCCATATTTATTTCTTTATGTTTTCCTGTGGGGTTGTGGGTTTTTGTTTCCGTTACGGTGAGTGCACCGTGGAACTTCATGATCGTGGTTTATTGTTTTGTCGTGCTTTAACTTAATAAAGTCTACGATGTTCACTCAACACGCTGCGCGTTGGTCTCATCCTTCACACGACCGTGACACATAGCGTACACCAGCATAGATGCTCACAATGGAGTTGGTAAAGTGTGATTTCATTGTTATGAACATTCATAGTTTCAGATGCCAAAAAAAGCTATTGTGTTATGAAAGGTTTCTGGGTAAACATACACAGATTTGTGGACAGTAGAGTTCTCTTGTATTGACTGTATGGTCAATGATCTTGCATGGATGTATCTTGCTTTATACTAACTGCGTTACAGTATCTTCCAGTTGGATAATGTAAAGTGAAACCCTCTTCGTCCCTTGCTTTAAAACCTCCCTCAGTAGATATCGGGAACACATTAGCTGGCAAATTGCATACATGGTCCTTTTTATTGGACAATGATTCTCCCTGGCCCATATTTCCCAGACGCGGACTCCATTTAACAATTCCCTAATTAGCTAAAGTCATAACCTGCATTGTGTATTCATCCCCCATTAATTAAGGCTTTGATGTTTGGTTAGAGAGGGACTGGCCACTGATAACCTCTCTGCTTGCTCAGAGCAGAGGAAGGCTTTGAGGTTCGATACACTGAACGAGTGTGGCTAAGACTCCTTAATCGCCGTGCCTCTGTTTCTATCGATGCTGTCGATATGGACCAAAACACACGAGATGTTCATGCAGCGATATTGATAAAGGCAAAAACGTCAATTTTAATATGCTTTAGAGAGAAGGGGGGGGGGGGGGGGGTTAATTGCTGAGCTTATGTTTTTCTGTTGGATGTTCTCTGAATGAAAAGGTGGATGTTGGAAAGGTGGATGTTGGGCCCATGTATTGTAATCATTGCTTCACCTATATGCATTTGGCAGAGGCACACTGCCACAAACCAAAAAAAATACTCAGAAAAGATTCAAAAATATGTATATTTCTCTTTTTTTTTGGAAGAACAAAATGTGGGGATGGTAAAACGTTTTCAGTGTAAACTTAAATGGCTAAAACAATATACTGTATAAAGTATGTAGAAAAGATACTGGATAGCATAAGAACAAGGCATAAGCCATGGCAAAATGTGTAGAATTGAAGGAAATTATCTTTAAAACTGAAAATGTTCTCTTGGCACCATGGCAAAATGTGTAGAATTGCAGGAAACTAGCTTTAAAACAATAAAATGTTCTTTATGCCCCATGGCAAAATGTGTAGATTTGCAGGAAATTAGTTTAAAGTGGCAACATTTTGTCTCTGCGGCCAAGAGGGCCTCTAAAACCGTGCCAAGGCCACTCCTCAACACCCCCCCCGACAACTGTGCCACCTCTGCTGAAAAGAAACACTGATTTCAATTCAACGTTTGAATAGAAGCCCATATGTTGCAGGCAGAACTTACTTCAACATGTTATCAGTTGTTGATCTATAGCTGTTCTCATTGTATTTTTGATTTAATAAGAGGTTGGATAGGAATGACATTTAAATCACAGGACTGGTTCAAACACAGGTCTGTTCTTTTACATTGAAGTACACTCACTCACACCTACCACAATTTGTTCTCATGTCACATACAGGCCGTTGCATATGGTCCTCATTCCAACGCTTTGGTCTTGCCTAAACAGTAGAAGCTGTTGTACAGGTGAATTATTCCTTTGCTTCTTTGGCCCAGGGGTCATGAATCTTCTACAAACCAAAGTAGGTATAGAGTATAAGATGAAAATATGTGCTTTTGCGGTGACCTTCTTCTAAACACTATTGACATTCATAAGTCCTTTGATATAATAAAAGCTTTCGTTAGACCTACAGTACACCACTATTGGAATTGGTCAATCAAGAGGCCATTTGGTAAAGTTTCCTTTTTTGACTACAGTTGATAAACAAATCAAAAAATTATATTCCAGGGGGATAAATTGTATATGATGGCTGCTCTTACTTGACCTCCATGTTGTAAGGCAGTTTCTGAGTTTCTTTGGGTCAAATGGCAATAGAGATGCCTGCAGATTTTGACGAGGAACACAAATACTTTTTGCTCAAGATCCCGCCCTCCCATCTCACCTCTCATCAGCCTCACTGTGTAGATGTTGAAAGGTTGCCATGACGAGGGTGGAGATTGAACACAGAGTGATGCACCACTGAACTCTGAGCTAATTATCACCTATTGGAGAGGGATGCTTCTGAACACAGAAATTCCAACGGAGAGGGTTTAGAGTGTGACACCACGATTTAGGAAATCTGAATAACAGTAGGAGATGACTACCCACTACATTGTCACCTAACTCCTCTATGACAAGCCTGGAGTGTTTACGGCTCTGAGGTTCACCTTCTAAACTGTTTATGTGTTTGCGAGCTTGCATGCATGTGTGCATTTATTGTGTCTGGGGGCTTTTGGCCCCCAAAAAATTCATTAAAAAACTGATAAAAAAAACTTTTAAAAAACTGTTGCCAGCCAAAATGACCGGGAGAAAAAAAGATCCATTGCAAAATAATGCCTTTTATTCATTGATGGAAATACCAGTCGATGGAAATACATTTGACCGTCATGCTTATCGGTCTATAGGTTCATTTGCATAATTTAGTGGAATAAAATTGGCCTGTGTGTATTTTCGTTAGTCATCATGTATCTTATTTATCCAACACAACTATCACACGCGCACAGCATACAGAGCCTACAGTGAGGGAAAAAAGTATTTGATCCCCTGCTGATTTTCTACGTTTGCCCACTGACAAAGAAATGATCTGTCTATAATTTTAATGGTAGGTTTATTTGAACAGTGAGAGACAGAATAACAACAACAACAAAATCCAGAAAAACTCATGTCAAAATTGTTATAAATTGATTTGCATTTTAATAAGGGAAATAAGTATTTGATCCCCTCTCAATCAGAAAGATGTCTGGCTCCCAGGTGTCTTTTATACAGGTAACGAGCTGAGATTAGGAGCACACTCTTAAAGGGAGTGCTCCTAATCTCAGTTTGTTACCTGTATAAAAGACACCTGTCCACAGAAGCAATCAATCAATCAGATTCCAAACTCTCCACCATGGCCAAGACCAAAGAGCTCTCCAAGGATGTCAGGGACAAGATTGTAGACCTACACAAAGCTGGAATGGCCTACAAGACCATCGCCAAGCAGCTTGGCGAGAAGGTGACAACAGTTGGTGCGATTATTCACAAATGGAAGAAACACAAAAGACCTGTCAATCTCCCTCGGCCTGGGATTCCATGCAAGATCTCACCTCGTGGAGTTGCAATGATCATGAGAACGGTAAGGAATCAGCCCAGAACTTCACGGGAGGATCTTGTCAATGATCTCAAGGCAGCTGGGACCATAGTCACCAAGAAAATAATTGGTAACACACTAACCCGTGAAGGACTGAAATCCTGCAGCGCCCGCAAGGTCCCCCTGCTCAAGAAAGCACACATACAGGGCCGTCTGAAGTTTGCCAATGCACATCTGAATGATTCAGAGGAGTACTGTGTGAAAGTGTTGTGGTCAGATGAGACCAAAATGGAGCTCTTTGGCATCAACTCAACTCGCCGTGTTTGGAGGAGGAGGAATGCTGCCTATGACCCCAAGAACACCATCCCCACCGTCAAACATGGAGGTGGAAACATTATGCTTTGGGGGTGTTTTTCTGCTAAGGTGACAGGACAACTTCACCGCATCAAAGGGACGATGGACAGGGCCATGTACCGTCAAATCTTGGGTGAGAACCTCCTTCCCTCAGTCAGGGCATTGAAAGTGGGTTGTGGATGGGTATTCCAGCATGACAATGACCCAAAACACACGGCCAAGGCAACAAAGGAGTGGCTCAAGAAGAAGCACATTAAGGTCCTGGAGTGGCCTAGCCAGTCTCCAGACCTTAATCCCATAGAAAATCTGTGGAGGGAGCTGAAGGTTCGAGTTGCTAAACGTCAGCCTCGAAACCTTAATGACTTGGAGAAGATCTGCAAAGCGGAATGGGACAAAATCCCTCCTGAGATGTGTGCAAACCTGGAGGCCAACTACAAGAAACGTCTGACCTCTGTGATTGCCAACAAGGGTTTTGCCACCAGGTACTAAGTAATGTTTTGCAGAGGGGTCAAATACTTATTTCCCTCATTAAAATGCAAATCAATTTATAACATTTTTGACATGCGTTTTTCAGGATTTTGTTGTTGTTATTCTATCTCTCACTGTTCAAATAAACATACCATTAAAATTATAGACTGATCATGTCTTTGTCAGTGGGCAAACATACAAAATCAGCAGGGGATCAAATACTTTTTTCCCTCACTGTATTTTGAGCGGGATTTGT